CCGATTGATTCTGTATCCATTATTTAAGATCTAGTATGAAAAATTCGAAAATGCAACCAAGTAAAACGTATACCAAAAACTAATTTTACTATGAATAAGATGTGGTATGAGTGCCAATGAGACAACTATCCATCCAAGTCACAATGTGCAAAAAGTAAACAATTATAAGTCAAAGTACGGCCTTCAACACGGAGACTTTGCTCACACCGAACAGTCAGCTATAAAGGGCCCCAAAATGACTAATGTAAAACAATTCAAACAGGAAAACCAACGGTCTTATCTATATACAAGAGGCTGTCAGAGTGACAGCAAACCGGATTTCCTGCAGAGGTCGAACCCTGAACAGTTGAGCAAGTATGGACACTACATTTTAGCTTAAAACAGCTGTGAATTTGGATTGTGATTGAATATTTGACACAAACTGAATGCGGTTAAAGAACTGAAAAATTGGAAATTGGACATTTACCTATTATGGTCAAATATCCAAAATCTAAGTACATTGTTAGAAGCAGCATATCAAAAAAAAAAAAAAAACCCAAGAATTCAATTTTTGATGAAATCAAACAAAAGTTTAATTTAGGACCCTTTGGACCTCAATGTGGACCAATTTGATAAAGGAGCCCACAATCCAAAATCTCTGAATACATGGTTAGATTCAGCATTTCGAAGAACCCCGTAAATTCAATTTTTGTTGAATCAATTTTGGACCAACTTGAAAACTGGGCCCAAAAATCTAATATTTAAATACAGGTTTAGATTCAGCATTTGAAAGAACCCTATATATTTTTAATTTATGTTGAAATGAAACACAGTTAAATTTTATCCATATAATTTTCTGTTCAAAGGGAAATACCTCAAACTGAATAAATTATAAACACATAGTTCTCTTACATTAGATATGATGTTACACAATATATATCTATTTTCAAATTATAACCAAATATAATTAATAGTTCCAAATATTTGTTCTTTCATTTGTCAAACACCAATACAGATCTGCAACTTATCTATCAATGTAACAACTTTATCTACACAATGTAATGTATAAATGAAATATATCCTTTAATAAAAAAAAAAACAGATTATTATCTCATTAAAGGAGTTCACTTCATAAAAAAAATTATATATATAGCATTCAGAAAATTAGTTTAAACAGAATATCAAACAAATCTACCACAAACTTCTTCAAACAATTTACCAAAGAAAAGAAAAAAACAAAATCCAAAATTTCATTTAACATTCATACAATGTCTTTTTAAAATCTTTTAAAAAAATGAGTTATTTCCCTTTGAACAGAATGGAGTAATTAATAATAATTTCATCAAAAATTGAATTCTTGGGAAAGGGCTATAATTCAACAACGAGAAAAGCTAGAATCGTGAAAATTTAACTTGACCTTCATTTAGTTACAGGAAACAACATATCTAAATTTAAAAAAAATCCGTCAAAGCGTTTTCTTGTTACTGAACGTACACTGTTTGGCAGTCGACCGCCTGCCCGCCCGACCGCCCGCCCGCCGTACATCCCCAAATCAAAAACCGATTTTTCTTTCAAAAATCCGGTTTAAAAAACGAGAAACGAGAAAACTTATGAACCACACCAACAAAAGACAACCACTGAACAACAGGCTCCTGACTTAGGACTGGTGCATACAAATGCAGTGGGTTTAAACGTTTTAACAGGCGCCAACCTTCACCCTAATTATCTGATTTCGGCAGTGGGGTATTAAAAATCAACCATATCTTCAGTGTATAACCAATTTTGACTAAAAGGGACAACCAAAAAAATGTTTGAAATTATATTTCTTCTTTATAATTTATGTCAATGCTTAAGTTTATTCATACAAAGAAAAGTATAAACATAACATCTGCCGATGTTACTAATTTTTGAAAAAAAAAATATAATTCTATAATAATATAAATTCATATTCATAAAATTAGTCATGATTATAATATATTAGTGGGGAACAAAGGATGCATGATGAGAAAACTTTAAATTAACAAGCATTCTGAGAGTATTGCATGGCAATACATAGTCCCCTACCGGGTAAAAATTCATTTTACTGGAACAAAATGCTAACTTGTTATATAACTTGCCATGGTGTAAACAAAAAGTAAATATCATGTCAATATCTTCAAGCATGACTAAAAACAGTGTGGAAAAACTGCTTATATGAGTGAATTTTTCAAGTCCAAGGACCATAACTCTGCACAAAATTATTAGACCCAAACAAAAATTTGAACTTGATCTGTAACTTGTCATGATAAAACTATATACCAATTATCAATCAATATCGTATAAGCATGATGAAAAAAACATTAGATATGATTAATAGTTCTCTTAAATTAGATATGATGTAATAGAGTGTATATCTATTTTCAAATTATAATCAAATATAATTAATAGTTCCAAATATTTTTCTTTCATTTGTCACAAACAAATATAGATTTGTAACTTATTTATAAAATGTCAAAAACTTTTATCTACACAATGTAATGTTTTGAAATATATACATAATAAAAATAGATTATTATCTAATTAAAGGATTTCTCTTCATATTTTTTTTTTATATATATAGCATTCAGAAAATAAGTTTATACTAAATAACTAACAAACCTGCCAAAAAATTCTTCAAATAATTGAACAAAATATGTCTTTTAAAAAATTAGTTATCTCCTTTTGTACAGAAATATGGTTTAACATAGTACTCTAACATTAGATATGGTCCAGAGTTATGGTCCATAACTCTGGATTAAATCATCAGACTGGAACAAAATTTAAACTTGATCTATAACTTGTCATGATAAAACTATATACCAAATATCAAATCAATATCTTCAAGAACGAAGAAAAAAAGTGTGGAAAGCTGATTTGCCGGACTGACAGAAGGACAGACAGACATACAGACGGACGGAGTGCAAACCTTAAGTCCCCTTCGACTTCGTCGGTAGGGGACTTAAAAAAAATCACATACGAATTATAGAACAAGCTAGGTAGATGAAGATATATTTTAGGAACGCATCTTAATAAATCACGTGTTAGCATCATGAAAACAAGAAAGTAACTGTTCCAAACACACATAAACAAATTTACGTAGTTATAAAGTCAGGGGTACTACTTGTAGGAAGTACACCACTAATTCGTGGCCCCATTGCTTTCTATGTTAAATTCCTCAATTTCAAGCAGACACAGCTCTTTTGTTTCAAGTTCAAATAAAGTGACAATCATTGCATGTCAAAGCAACACTTTACGGTGTCTTGTACTGGAAAAATCAACATACCTTTAATGGCATATAAGAAAGAACTGGTTCCCGGAACTTCGGATGTACCAAAACAGGTACTTCAGATCTGACATACAGGCAAAAAGTACCCTCTTTATAAAATTTGGTGCAGTTTTTTTAATATTTAAAATTATAAGTCAAAAAGTGTTCTACAATGATCACCAGTCATTAAGCTTTCATTTGATACCAACAATACCTAAATATTCTACATATTTTGAAAGTTACACTCATGCGTAGGAACTATTTTGTGCTAAATATGTACTACTTTCTGGTATGTGCTTTCTGGCCGGGCCGAATTAGTGGTGTTACACCTATAACAGAACAAAACTTGCTATACTGACTTCAGCATCACTTTATTTCATTCTATTATCTATTTCAAGCAATAAAAATTACATAAAGCTTAAGTCCAAATACTATTTTACTAATTTTAAGCTCAAATTGGACTGGTAGTAACATATAGGTTATTCAAAGAAAACTGCATATGGATATTATAAATGGCCAATATACTTATTTTATTCTCAATATCATTGTTGTATTTAATAATTTCTGTTAGGAAAACAATGTGCTTACCAATAGTCATATTTCACCAGAGTTTGTTCATTTAATAAAAATATATTAGACCAAACCTAAAACATAATTGAGAAAATTGTCCCCCCTTTTTTCTTCAAATTGGAAAAGGGACATTTTTGGTATAAACCATACTTCTGTGGTACAACATAGATTATAAAGAGCAATTTATATATATTTCAGCTGGATAACTTGCTAAGCTGGTTCAAAATTGCATGTACAGTGAGATTTTGGAATTCTTATATGAGTATATACCAATTGCCTAGATTGTAAAAGGCTATCATAAGAAAACCAATAAAACTTGAAAAATCATAGAATTATTTGACCAAGAGCTATTTTTTTTACCATAAACAAGTCATTATATACATGTTTTATTGATTGCAATCCCAAATAATGCAAAAATAAGAATTTGGAGTCAAGTCTTAACTGCATGCATGTTGTGTGACCATAAAAGGCTAAAATACCTGATTATGTCAATTTAAGAGCTGAAATTTCCCATAAACAGAATTGTTCATCCAAAAAAGATGATTAAACATGTTTACTTACAACAAATATGACTTATTTTCATTGGAATAGGTACAACTTCTAAGAATTGAATTTCTGATGATTCTCTGTAATAGGAAGTACACCACTAATTCGTGGCCCCATTGCTTTCTATGTTAAATTCCTCAATTTCAAGCAGACACAGCTCTTTTGTTTCAAGTTCAAATAAAGTGACAATCATTGCATGTCAAAGCAACACTTTACGGTGTCTTGTACTGGAAAAATCAACATACCTTTAATGGCATATAAGAAAGAACTGGTTCCCGGAACTTCGGATGTACCAAAACAGGTACTTCAGATCTGACATACAGGCAAAAAGTACCCTCTTTATAAAATTTGGTGCAGTTTTTTTAATATTTAAAATTATAAGTCAAAAAGTGTTCTACAATGATCACCAGTCATTAAGCTTTCATTTGATACCAACAATACCTAAATATTCTACATATTTTGAAAGTTACACTCATGCGTAGGAACTATTTTGTGCTAAATATGTACTACTTTCTGGTATGTGCTTTCTGGCCGGGCCGAATTAGTGGTGTTACACCTGTACAAGTAATTTTTATTTACTTGAAGAAGTAATATTAATATACTTATACAAGTAAATTTATAGGATACTTATACAAGTGTAGTTTATTTACTTGTATAGGTAAATAATTTTTGGGCATAGTTATGTCCCTTAGACATTCAGATTTTTTTCACTTATATAAGTAAGAAAGTCATCCTATCTTCTTTTCTTGAATTCTTAGGACTTCTTTGCTCTAATAGAATTTTGAATTGTCTGTTCTTTGCAGATGTCTTTACTAACCATTTAAGTGTATTTTCATGGACAATGAAAATCTCGTTTGTCTGTTATTTTCAGAACATTGCTCATTTACAAGCCCCCAAGGGGCAATTTTTGAAGGCCTTGCGCAAATACTTAAAAGATCTTTGCTCAATCAGTTTCTTTGTTGAATTAATGAGATGAACATTGAACTCTAATAAAAAATTATGAGCTAACCTGGGAAAAATCATTAAAGGTATGTTTTTACATCTCAAAAATTGAGAATTTTAGTGGGATTGTAAAAAAAATTTATTAATACAAGTAAATTTTTGAGAAAATTAAGGGGAGATTATTCAAACATTATAATTAACTTATACAAGTATTTTTTTTTTACTTCTTCAAGTAAATAAAGATTACTTGTACACGTAGTACCCCTGACTGACAGTAGCAGGCTGTGTGTACAGTAACGTGTCAAAGTTGTAATATATAGTTCCTGTCTTAATATATTCAACCCCAAAAAAAAATAGAGGCATTGCGAGTTTCGTGAATCCGAGGAAAGAATCTGAATGACCTATGGTTGATAGCATTAACTAACCAATATATGCGGCGTGAATCCCTACTATATGTTTGAAATCTTGGCAAATGCCAAACCAGGGAATAAGACTGCTATGGCGGTGGTATCGATCGTTCGAAGCGTATTTCTGGGACAAATTTTACAATTCAAAACCACCCAAAATACGTGCACACGCTAAAGCGTCTCTCTTTTTATACATATCATGATTAAATTTCATACTACACACTGAATATAGTGTTGTACTATTACTTTAAAACGAGTCAAGGTCAGATGAAACTTGCCAGTCTGACATGTACACCTTACAATCATTCCACACACACAATATTGTTGGCCTATTGCAGTATCTGAGATACATGCATGTCCGCAAGTGACCACGACAACTTACCCTTTGATCACTGATCCATGAAATGAGATCGAAGTCAGGTGAAAACTGTCTGACGGACCTACGGACCTGTAGACCTTGCAAGGATCCCATATACCAAATATATCACTATAAAAATTATTTTTTGTTTGACGAAGTGTTAAACCATTTTAGCTGTAATAAAATAAGAACCATTTCATTCAATTTTGAAAACTGATACATTTACATTTTTCTAAAGCTATAATACAATTACACCAGTCAGTTTCCGCACTTGAATTTATTTCACATACAGGATCCATTTTCAAAGACGATTTTAAGAAAGGAATTGTATAAATCATGTAATTTTGGAAGCACTGAATAATAAACTTATAATTCAACGCGGGACAGGCAATCCATGTCCACCAACAGCGGGATCGACCCAGTGCTTGAAAATAAAAAAAAAAAAAACGCTTTTTAAATTTTGGTACGTTTAAAGCGCTTTTCTGGTTACTTGTACGCGTCTGACTTGTGACTCATTTATATGTGTCATTGATAAACATTTAAAACAATTTACGATTCTAACTTTACCGCACATTGCGACAAATAATGTCTCATCAGTGAAGCTCGAAGTCAAAATATTTGTATTCCGTAACCTAATAAAATAGTGAACCAAAGTTTACGAGCTAAAACAACAGTATTAAGTTTTGTCGATGTAAAAGAACTTTATCTAATTATTTTTTTCGGTCAAAGTTAATGGTCATGCAACCATAATTCTGAAGGACTTTTTTGTAAATAACGTTACCACTTTGTTCTAGTTTAAGTAAAAGCGACCATGGTTGCTGACAGTTTGAAACGTACAATTGAAACACTATTGACCGATGAAAGGGAGAAATGTAGGACAATGGGTCATCTGTTAAACGTCTTACCGATCTTAGCGTTCTTGAAGGTGATCAATCCACGAAATCTGATCGAATTTACATCACATATCATTATGACATATATAAAGACTGACTTAGCACTAAAGTATTCTTAAAATAAATTACATCTTTGTATAATAATGTACGGGGGAAAGATAATCGTTCTATAAGATTTTTCGTCATGGGCTTATATTTAGTGTTCATTTATTGTACGCAACTTCATAAAGAAATACATTTCCTGTCAACGTGACAATAAGTAGCTCTCTCCGATTGACATTATAGTGGATCGCTGCAGCTAGACTGAGTTTGTCAAATGGTTTAATTATTTCCTTGAATAACTTTCCATCGGATGAAACCGCAAACACATTTTTTGAGTGAAAGCCACAAACAAAGAGAATATTTGAACCATCTGATGTAACTCCATATGGTAAATTCATGCCATCATTCTGAAATTCCCATAAGTTGTTGCCTTGAATATCCCGACAACAGACTTTATTATTTAGCCTATCAACATAATACAGTTTCTCGCTGATACAAACCATCGAATGGTACCATCTTTCTGAAAGTTCAATAGAAATAGATTTATCTGTTTCTTCTGAAAGATCTACAATTGCAAATCCTTTTCCTACATGTTCAACTATTAATTTGTTATCACAACATACAGCAATGGATCCTATTCTTGTATCCTGCTTGAATGTTTTAGTCACTTCCCCACTTCTTAATTCGAGTACATTGACTTTGTAATCAGTTGTCATGGCTATGTTCTTTTCGTCGATTATAGTGAATCTTATAGGTATAAAGGGTACATCATATGTCCGTTTTAAGTTACCATTAGGATAGTGCATCAATAAGCATTTGTTTTTTTCGATCGGAGAACAACAGGTCGCCATTATTAAATATTCCACAATCCAAAATTTCGTGGTTTTTATCTTTTTTGGGTAAATCCACCTTGATTTTTTCTTTCAAAATTATCATATCTATTTTTGCAGATATACATCCTGCACCCATTAACTGTGCTTCGCGAGTTTTTCGTACTTTCAGCAGTGTTTTAGTCGGCAATTGTTTGCCATCAATATTATCAATAGTAGTGAAACTATTTTTTATTGATTGGATATTTATTAGAACAACTGACACCTCGGTCCAGTTGAACGACTCATTTTCAAACAAATGTTGCAAATCTGTTTCTTTCTTATGTGCCCATTGTTCTAGTTCACGTATAGCTATAAAAGTCTGGAAATTTGATGCAATAGTTTTAATACTGTTAACATTTTCTTGCATTTCATCAACCGTAATTTTGCGCGCTTCGAGATCAGTCAGCACCTGTCTTATCTGACGATCTTTTGCAACAAAAGCTTGATGCAATTTATTTGTAAGATCACGTTCTAAGGAATCGATATAAGAGTTGATAGTTTCCCTAGCAGTCTTGATTTCTTCTTCACACTGTGCTTTTTGTTTCACTAGCTCCTGCAGATTCGCACTACGATCATCAATATATTTTTCTATATTTGCTAATAAATCTGCCAAAGATACTTCAAGATCAACAAAAGCAGAAGAATCCTTTATATTCTTAACAATGTTTTTTACTGGGGTTAACTTGCGGCAACTTTTGTGTGTATTGTATAAACATTCGGCACAACAAGGTACTTCATGATCGCCACAGAATAAAACAAATCTTTCGTCATGTTCTACACAGTTAGTTTTAATTTCTTGGACAAATTTCGGAAGTTTAAGAATATTTTCAATGCCAATTGTTTCATGCTTCTTTGTTGCCTTTGCTACATCATGGTGTATTTTGCATTTATCGCAAAAATTCTCTTCACACTCAGGACACCACACGTTGGCGGGCGTGGTAATGTGCTGACTGATGCAAATGTCACAGAACTGTCGTCCACTTGTAGCCATATCTAGAAATAAAATGTCAGACTATTTGTTTTATACATGTGGAGAATTCCCAGTTTACTATCAAATGCAATAAAGCTATAGCACATAAAGACGCCTATATTTATACATGCTTTGATTGATTATCGGGTGTAATCTTACTTTCAGCTGACCAATGTTTTATATATAGAAAAATGTAAAAGGTAGCATACATCACTCAATTAAATTTTAGGCGAAAGGGAACGATATATGTTTTGTAAAGGGGGAGACAGGGTAACTATTTTCAGATCGAATATTCACTTTAAAATTTAGCAAGCAGTAATTATTTTTCATTTTTGTGAATTGATTTTCAATTGTGTACACATTAATATGCTGCATTTTATTGGGTAAAACATTCGGTTAAATTTGGTGTGGGGTGGTTCATTTATTTCAATTTATAACCATGCAAAAATATTCATTTCAAAAATATCCCTCTCTCCCTTCCGAATATCGAATAGTTAACCCAAAACTGTGGCCCGTCATGATGAATAACAATATTCAGGGCAATGTTTGTTCAAATCTGACTTATCATGCTTATCGTCATAATTCATTTATATATTTTCTAATATCAGGCCATCATGTACTAAATCAGTTATCATGTTCTTACAGTAATCTTGGCTGATTTGCGTTTTTTTAAAGAAGTTTCAACTGTTGCTTAAATTGGTATTCTTTTTCTAATACCAACGGTGTTCATTTTGAGAAGAACCTGCGTGAAAAGTGTAAACGAGTGATTGATTGTTGGTTGCTTAGCGTCCACAAATTGTAAACGAGAGTCATTAATTAATCCTTTGTTTTTAATTTGTCCTTGAACGGTGTAAACTGGTATGATAAAAGCCTTTACTTGGTCACTGAAATTGTAAAATTAGAAAAAAAAAAACAATTGAGTCCATTCAAAGATCTATAAACTATGCAATCGTAAACACAGCGAAATTGACACGTGTCATCGAAAATGTCATTTTACACCCACAGCCTTCCCAATGGAATACTCAGTATACACACATTACCATAGTTCTACATCAGTCAGGGCATTACTTAAACAAGTAACTTTCGTAATTAACTTTACAAGTTATGTTGAAAACGAGGCTGTTCAGAATATTACTTATATATTTAACTTTTGTAAATATTATTTTTAAAGGTGTCCATTAGTTCAGATTTTACTAGCTATAACAAATGTTCATAAACTTCTATTTTTTTAAACATAAAAACTATTCCTTCGGAAACACTAAGTGTCCTTCTGGCGCACTTATAATTCATATTCACGATTCTGGGTCAAAGATTGGTCTCTATAAAAATGTCAGTTTTCGTTAAAAAAAAACTTAAAGGTAGACAGATATAAAAAGATAGAAACTTGTGATCTAATTAAGACTAGAAATAAATTATAATTTGTAACCCCAAAAATTACACATGTTCCTGAAATAATTGTTATTACTAAATTAATTTGTTCAAAGATGTATAACAATAACTTATACAAGCACTATATTTGTCATTATTTTTAAAAAACCTATTATTTTTATACTCTTCTCTTTAAAAAAATCTTAATTTTATTTAATGAGTGTTGTAAAAGTTCATAAAAACTATATTTAGTCCATTCTTTCAATAGAAATTTAAGATAACTCCACTGAGTAATCTAATAATTTTTAAAAACAAAAAATACCTATTTAAGTAACGAAAAAAAAAAGATAATTGTCTAAGTAACGACCCTGGCTGTACATAAAATACATCTTGAAGCAAAATATTCCTAGAGGCACACAAAATAAAGTTTCCAATAAGGGAAATGATCCTATGGGTACCATTTATAAACACTATCATCATTCGATTAGCTGGTGTTTTACTTAATGTAAACCAGTCAATAAATTCTTTGAATTCATCTTCTAATGTAGATATTAGTATGTCAAAATCAGGATTACAAAATGATAACGTGTTGAGCTCCACCTAGTTATATAATATGATACGTTTAATAAAATAAAAATAATCCTTCATCTAAACGTTGAACAAAAGATGTGCAAGAATAGAACATTCTGTCACACCTACATGGATATCAGCCCAACTTTTATTCGCAGTTTACTATTTAAGACGGATTTTAAACGGGACACTGATTAAGAATATAAACGATAGTTTGTAAAAAAACAAATTTCAAGAGATTAACTATAAGATTAGATACGTCCGTTTGAACTGTTGCTGTCTTAGTGTCTAATGATTATTAGCAAGGACCTCAGTACATAAAATTGTGTGGTCTGATATCCATGATCTCGTCTAAATTAACATAAATATGGTTTTAAAAATTGGGTCGAAAAAAATCTGACAGTTTTTAAAACCTTGAATTATAACTTAGAAAAAAAGTGGTAGACATAGTAGTGTAGTATTGGTTTTTATTAATTTACATTTACGTTCTTTTTTTAACCTCAACGGGCTTCCGTATTGATAAGAACACAAACAAAATCACAATATTTAAAGAAATTATTTCATCAATTTATTTCAATCGACAACAAATAGAAAGAAAGATTAATCATTATTGAATTCTAAGCATGTTAAGACGATGTTTATGTATTTTATTATTATATTTGCCATATCAATCAAGAGTCAGAAACAATGGACAAATCGTTCAAACAGAAAGTTGATAAAAACATTGATACCATACGTTAGTGTACAACTATCATACTCGATTGATGTCTTTATGTCCTGATATAATACGAAACACATATGATTTGGTCAAATTGTCTTACCTTGCGCTAAACTTGCAGTTTAGTTTCTCATCTGCTAGACCAGGGATTGTAAATGAAATATCAACAAATTGTCGTCACAGTCACATGATTGAAGATAGACTTTATCATGTTTATATGGAAATCTAAAATAACAAAATCCGTTTGTTTTCTGGTCTGATCTTTTACTCGTACTTCAAGGTAGGCTACTTTTGAATTTAAAAAACTAACTGCTACCAATTAAAATTGAGAATGGAAATGGGGAATGTGTCAAAGAGACAACAACCCGACCATAGAACAGACAACAGCAGAAGGTCACCAACAGGTCTTCAATGCAGCGAGAATTGTCTATGTTCACATGATTGAGGAAGTACATGTAGCTATGCAGCTTATTTGCCAAATTAAATAAAGTGTGGGAAACGCGTGGATCTATATCGTTATTCAAAATTGATTAAACCTTTTCGTAACTTTAAGTAGTCTCAGAGTAAACCTTTATAATATTTATGTATTAAAGTAAATGTACTTCGAGGCAGTGCATGTTTCTTGATCAATACTTGTGTTTTATGTTGACAGTGTAAAGATGCATGTAATTTTGTAATTTTGTAATTTCTCATTATCATTATAATTTAATTTGCTATATAAACAGAAGTGGGGACCGGACATCATGCAAATCGGTGCACTTCTTTTGTGCCAACTGACATTTCATTTGCGCAAAAAAAAAGAAGTTTCATTTGCGCCACAAACCATATTTTATTTGCGCCAAAATAAAACATTTCATTTGCGCCATTAATACAGGTTAATACATGTAAACAGTATACACATATATTTATTCAAATGAGACTTTCGATAATAACTTACAAAGACATGTTTTTGTATGCATACTATACAATTATGGCCCGTAGAAAAGATTAATATCCAAAATTGTCAACTCGAGAAGGTTATCTAACTGAGGGCACATCCCATCGCTTCTAATAGGCCACAACTGTTTTATTATACCGAACTAACAGTGGGAAGGCCAATTTCAACCATTGAAAGCACTATTCACTGAAGTTAAACCAAAAGTTTGTTCTAGCACATGACTTGTAAGCAACGGTCCGAAAGTACTCATATACAATAAAATAATAAAAAAAAAATGAGAATGGAAATGGGGAATGTGTCAAAGAGACAACAACCCGACCAAAGACCAAAAAACAGCCGAAGGCCACCAATGGGTCTTCAACACAGCGAGAAAATCCCGCACCGGAGGCGAGCTTCAGCTGGCCCCTAAACGAAAAAATGTGTACTAGTTTAGTAATAATGTACACTAGATATGGCAATGACTATTTTAGCTTTTCCGTTATATGTTACCTGTAACATGTCGCAAATGTAGTTTTTTTTATTTTTTGGCGTAAATAAAATATAACCTTGTCGCGCAAATGAAAGATTGGATTTTGTAAAAATTGGCGCAAATGCAATGCGCCAATGAAACTACTATTATCGCATGTCAAAACATTAAATACTTTACCCACTGCAAACCAATCTACACCTTCCCTTTTAGAAAAAAAAAAACAAAACTCAACCTCTTCCTTGATCCGTCACTGTTGTGAAAGCTAAACAACTAATTGCGCTCTTGTAACTATATAACTATCAGTGGCTTGTATTTTTTTTTTATAACTGGTTACGTTTAAATATCATAATTAACTATGGAGAAATACATGAAATTGTAAAGGTTCAACACATTCGTGGTGAAAATATTACAGCACATCATAGCACATGGGCCCCTAAACAGTAAAAGCAACGTAAACAGAACAAGGCAGATGTTTGTTCTCTTATTCATATGAAGCCGGCTATATTCAGGAACTTCTTAGGAAGAAAGAAAAGAAGTTAGCAGTATCATTTAACTTTACTTTCCGCTATACATGCTATATAAACGATGCTCTCTCACTAAATAATTCAAAATTTGGTAACTATGTTGAATGCATCTATCCCATCGAAATATACAGATATAAAGTCTGCCTCATACATTGACTTACATCTAGAAATTGAATATGAGGGTCGGTTGAAAACAAAAACTATGCAACTAAAGTGATAATTACAGCTTCTCAATTGTGAACTTTCCATTTTTAAGTAGCAACATTGCAGCTGCGCCTGCATACAGAGCATATATCTCCCAGTTGATAATATATTCACGAGCTTGTATCTCCGATAATGATTTCCTTAATAGAGGATTGCTGCACACAAGGAAAGTTTTAAACCAAGAGTTCCAAGTGGTGAAGTAAAAGTCATCCCTTCGTAAACTTTACGGACGTCATCACGAGATGGTTGACCGTGATGGAATATCCGTTTCATAGATGATAGTTTATATGTTCCACTTGTCTAAACTTCAAACGGAGCACCTAAAATCACCTCAAGGTTTTGGTGGGGTTCATGTTGCTCAGTCTTTAGTGTTTTTTGTTCTGTTTTGTGTATTGTTGGATTTCTTTTTTCTTTATTATAGCCATGGCGATGTTTGTTTTTTTACTTACGAGTTTGAATGTCCCTATGGTATTTTTCGCCTCTCTTTTGTTGTCATCAAAACTTATTCAATAATGTATAGCAATTTATTTCAGTGCAAATTAAAATTTGGAAACAGTTAGAAATAAGCATTCCAGGAGAAGCCCTGAATCAAATGTGTATTAATTATCAATTAAGTAGTAGCAAGACATGATGATGTAGTATTCTCTTTCGATTTCTGCATTTATTATCTTTTAACAATGAAGATGTTTTTTTTCTTCATTGTTTCAATCGACACTTGTTTCATTTTGATTTTGTTCATCTTCGTCGGTCACATGATTAAGAGTTTGTAAGGAGTTTAAATTAAATCCTCACTAGGTCTAATAAAACATATTTAAGAAAGCAATAGAAAGTGTATTTGTCATAAGAAGGAAAAATCTTTTACGAAAATAATTTAAAAATTGTAGAACCTAAACCTCCTGAACTAAAAAATAAAATAGAAATAACAGATATTGAATTGGCTTTTTTTTTTTATTCATAAACATTTTAGCAAGACCTATGAAACCAACATTATCGTCTCTTCCTGAGCATCCATTCGTCGGTGATAACATAACGTTTACATGTAATGCGATACAAACCTGGCCTGCAGGATATATTACTTCCAAACTGTCATACCATTTTTGGGGAGAGACTGATAGCGATCTGTTAACAATACACACACTTACTGAGTTGGATAAAGGAAAAGACATATCCTGTCAGTACACTGATGAATATGGAGAAGTATCTAACATGAGTGGTACTATTACATTGGATCCTTACTGTAAGTATGGTCATAGTAGAATGAATGTGTTTGCTAACTCTAATGTACTAGACAAGAGTTTCAGTTTATTTTTCAAGTTTGATATACATAAATTAAAAAAAAAAAAAATAGCGAAACATCTCAGTTGTGGTTTTATGAGCAATTTCGTTACAACGCACAACGAATTCATGAAGCAAGAGAAACCACAACATGAAAAAACAGAACAAAAGTAGGTAAGATTTAAAAAACGGAAAAAATACAGGTTTTGATATGATCCGAAATGAATATATTAATCCACCATTCTTTTTATGATGCCTTTTTACCTTACATTATTTGAAAAAAAAAACATTTTAAAGCTTTTCTTGAAGTTTTAAATCATGTTAATATTTCGTTTTACACAAATATGGGGGACCCTTTTAAATCCTGATGCATATAGATGAACTACCTTGGTTACTTCCATTGGAACGTTATTTACGGCATACTATTGATAAACTTTCAAAATATTCAGACTTCGTTGAAATGATACATGTATCTAAGGCAAAATATGTCTTCAGGTATAAGGCTATTCCGCTCAAAATAATATCTTTTGTCTAATTGTGCTTATAGATCTGCTCACTCTTCCGGAGCACCTGAGATCACCCCAGTATTTGGTGGGATTCGTGTTGCTCAGTCTTTAGCTTTCCGTGTGGTGTTTTGTGTGTTGTTGTTTGTCTTTTGGTCTTTTTCTTTTTTTAGCCATGGCATTGTCAGTTTTATTTTCGTTTGAATTACTTTGGTATTTTCTCCTCTATTTTTCTACAAAAAGGAAATCGTAGATACAAATTCCTTGTTTTAGGTCATGAAAAATCTTTCTTTGTGTAGAAATGTTTTCATACTATCAGAAATCAAAAATGTGTACAGAGTATCTTCAAAGACCAAAAGCAAAGCATCTCGCAAAGTTCTTTTTTTTTCAATTTCAGTTTCATTGGTAATGTCCAGTCACTCAATATAAAAACAATATCGAGTGGTCTTCAATAGTGATCAAACCCATACCGTTAGTACCTTTTAAAAAGATTCCGAAGGACAAAAGAAACAATTCAAACCAGCATTTCATTTAGTACTTGCATCTCATTTATCCAAGTGCACTTGAGATTAAGGATAATACTTAACTAGAAGATCTGCTTTATCATGTTTATATTATCACCGTTTCCTCTTTATTAAATCAGATGGACGACTTTCAACAATCAATTTCATATTCATCAACAGTTACAAATACTCATTACATAACGTAAACATATCTCAATTAGTACATTAACAAGGACTATGCTCATGACATGAGCACACCATAAAAGTATTTGGTAAGGAAAGTTACTGAAATCGACATTACACAAGTTTTACTTTCACCATCACTTTCAATAATTGATTTACCGAAACCTTAGATTCAATTCAGGATATTGCATGCATAGAAGAAGACTCTTACCCTGTCGCAACCAGTCTCTCTCGCTTTTGGGGTTCCTGCGGTTTCTTTGTATATTTTATTTATTATCCGTGTGTCTTCTTAGTGGATTAAGAACATAGGTCACTACTGTTGTTTTTAAAGACATTGTTGAAAAATAGATAAATGTTATTACTACGTGTAGCCTTCATATTGACAATGTTTTAGACATTGTATAATAATCAAAACATCTACTACTGTAAATAGTGTGTTGCATCTGACTTCTTCTTCTTCTTCTTCTTTTCCGTATCTTCCTTCTGCTAATGAGGAGCACATCCAAACGGATTTTTTAAAAATTTTGGCTGATAACTGACTTAAAAGGAAGTTTAATGCAGTATTCTTTTTCTCAATCTGTAGTTTGCCTTGAATT